AAAAGCCAGAAAATAAAATAAATAAGTCCACCCATTATCAACTTGATGTCTAAACATATTGCTTTCAAGTCTTAATTTTCCGTCCCTTGCCTTGGCTCATGGTCATCTCATACTGCAAATTCGTTCAGTCCAACTTTAAGAGTCTCCATCATCTTTAACCACTCCAACACTATTAAAAAAAAAAGTACAAGTATGCCGGGCGGTGGTGGCACACACCTTTAATCCCAGCACTCAGGAGGCAGAGGCAGGTGAATCTCTGGGAGTTCAAGGTCAGCCTGGTCTACAAGAGCTAGTTCTGGGACAGGCACCAAAGCTATAGAGAAACCCTGTCTCAAAAAAAAAAGAGTACAAGTGTAATCACTTCTGAGACTCAGATAATCTCTTAACTGTGAGCCCCTGCAACATCAAAAATCAAATTATAGAGAGCTGGCCCAGTGGTAAAGGTGCCTACTGCCAAGCCTGATGACCTGAACTTGATCCCTAGAACCAACATCATGGAAGGAGAGAACAGACTCCTATAAGGTATCCTCTTATCTCCACAAACATGCTGTGACTTGTGTGTACCCGTATACACATATATACCCACATACTTGAACACAAAATAAAAATGTTTAAATCTAATAAAGCATTTTTAATCACTTGTTTCCAAGATGCAATGGTACTGTTCCAAAAGGTAGAAATATAGGCCCAGAAAGGAAAGGTCAGACTCAGCATAGCAGAAATTCAGTAGGGCAAACATGGAGTCCCAAAGGTCCATGTCAGGTATCTGGGGCTCATAATGGAATCATTTGCACTCTAAAAAGGCTTGGGGGGCCCCACCCTTCAGCACACAAAGGTGCTCTCTTGAACTTGATCCATTCTCTTCATGTAGCTTCCCTCAGTGGACATTTCATCGTCAAGACATCTCCAGCATCCTGGGGTCTCATTGCAACTTAAGCGTCACCTCACATATTTACACAGTGACCTCTCGTGGCTCCTCTGGGGGATGTCTGACCCCGACACACTTTGCTTGGCCTCAACAGTCATTTGGAGTCCTTGTCCAAGTCTCCAACCTCCATTCTCAACCACATGGGCATCCCATTCTTTTCCTGTCTGAGATTCACACTGACACTGGCTGCTAGTTTGCTGTCTTCTATACCCTGGGTGTCTCCTTTACCAAATTCCTGAATGTTGCGCTGACTTAGAGTTTGGCGCCCCCTACTCTTTCTGTTTATTCTATCTTCCCACACTCTGGGCACTATTTATTGGGTATTTACTATATGCTGTACTTGGCTTGAGGCATCTGAGGCAGAACAGTGAATGCGTAAACCAAGTTCCTACATTTAATAAAGCATATGTTGTCATGAAACAGAAAAATGTGCAAACAACACAGACAGCATGGAATGTGATATCTAGTAGCAACAGTGCCACACAGAAGGGGGGGGCAGAAGAGGAAAACTAGGTGTTAGCACACGAAGACAGTGGCGCCAGCTAGGACTTTGTGAAGAGGTGACATCGTCATCAGAGTGAAGTAAAGCGTGAGGCAGAGGAGTCGAGGAGAACTCCACTTGACTTGAGTGACAGAAAGAAGGATAGTGGGCTTGAGAGACGTCTCGATAAGTAAAATGCTTGCCCGCTGTCTAAGCCCGAGTCCCTGAGTTCAGGTCACCAGGGCCCGCATACAGCTGGATATGGTAGCGCAGGTCTGTAACCCTAGTGCGTCCGTGTGGAGATGGGACACAGAGAAAGGTGGAACCCTAGAAGCTTGCAGGTCACCCATGCCAGAGTGTGCAGGGGCAAACAAAGAGAACCTGTCTCAAATAAGGTGGGAGGAATTTCCCTTTTCAACCCCAGGGAAATATTCCTGGCGACTTCGTCTCTAAAAGCATTTTCTGCTTTCCAGACCCAATGGCCTCCTTATCTTGTTTTTATGATAGTTACTGTAATCTCCAGTAATAAAACTTGCTTTTTGGTTCCTCCTCCTCTTCCTTCTTTGTCTTCCTTTTTATTTTTTGCTGTCCACCTGTCTATCTTGTTCATAGCTGTACTCTCTGTGGTCAGTGTGATACCTATTGCAGAGAAAGGGTTTAGAAGACTTGGGTGAGACAACACAGGGTAGACCAGTCATCTGGAGAAGTCTGGATGCTTTGGTTCATGCCTAGGTCAATTGTGTGCACTAGCTACATGGCTTTGTGAAAAATGTCTCTGCAATGGCAACTCAGTTTTAAATTATATGATATGCCTGCCTTAGAATTATATTTAATGCAGGATTTGTGTTGGTACCCAGAACTTCATCTGGCTAACAACAATGGGAAGAGGCTTTCTGATACAGAATAAGTGTGAATCATTACTACTACTACTGAGTAAGCATAAAGTGGCCATGGGAAAGCCAAGGCATTCTACATTCCTGCTGTGGGGTCACTTGAGTGTTTAGTGTTAGCTGCCCATCAGCTCGGCTCCATTCAGGAAAACCACTGGGAAGGAAGCACAGGGATCTGCCTTCCGGACTGATGTAGCACCTGTTCTACCGGGCAGGTCCATCCTGTCCTGCTATGGTACCATAAGTTACTGTATTCAAGAGCTGACTGGGGTCCAAGCATCTTTTTGCAAAGCCCCCTGAGACAGATATTTTACTGATGAAGCAAAGGACACTTGGACAAGCAACAATGGGCAGAAGGAAAACAAAAGACTAGACCTCATATGTTTCTATGTCTGTCTGACTTTCTGCTATACTGTGGGTAAACCAAGGGCAAACCTTTGGGGTGTAATCAGTTTCTAGTGAGCTCCAGAGTATCTGAAGAATCAACAGATGAAAACAAACCATGTCTCCTTGGTGGGCCAGAGAGATAGCTCAGTGGTTAAGAGAACTTACCTCTCTGGCCCAAGACCTAAGTTTCATTCTCTTTGCCCAAGTCAGATGGCTCGCAACCTCCTGGAATTGCAGCTCCAGGGCATCCAACACTTCCAGTCTCACTGGCACCTGCACTCGGGTGTACATGTCCACAGATACATACCTACACATAATTTCAAAAAATAATAAAAATACTGGGACTGAACGAGCATGTTATCAAACCGGATTCTCTGAATATGGCTGACATGGGGGCTGACTGAGAAGCCATTGACAATGGCACTGGGTCTTGTTTCGTCTGCATGTACTGACTTTTGGGGATCCTAGTCTGTTTGGATGCTCACCTTCCTAGACCTGGAGGGAGGGGGGAGGGACTTGAACTTCCCACAGGGCAGGAAGCCCTGACTGCTCTTAGGACTGGAGAGGGAGGAGGAGAGGGAGTGGCAGGAATGGAAGGGTATTGGGAGGAGGGGAGGAAATGGAAATTTTTATAAATAAATGAATAAATAAATAATAAAAAATAATAACAAAAATAAACCATACACACACACACACACACACACACACTTAGAACCCACAGCCCCAATTTGACAACTGATCTTAACTCATCCAGGAAGTCCTACTGTAAAACTCAGCATCATGTAACTTAAATACACAGTTGGATGGGAAGATGGCCACAAAAATAACTTGTTTACAGCAGCCAGAAAGGCTCCTCCAAAAAGAAACAAAAGGAATGCCCATCCCCACCATCCCCTCCAGGTTCCACTTCCTTCCCTTCCCTCTGCTCCTGCAGCCCAAGGAGAATTCTCATTTTTTTTTCTCAGAGAGGATTCTCTTCTCACCAACATGTCCTTGTGATGAAGGAGGGCCTTTGTCCAGATCATATGTGCAACTGAGGTTGTGAACACCACCACCTAACCATGTAAAACACTGGAACGGATCCTGTCTGGAATGATTTTGAAAGAATAATCAAAGAGAGTCCAAGTTAGAAAGTTTGGTGTTCTTCATTGCCATCCACCTAGCTCTCTGCGACAGGGTCTCCCATTGATCTGGAGATCACCAAGGAGACTAGGCAAGTCAGCAAACCTCGGGGATCTGTCTGCCTGACTCTGCCTCTCCCGCGCTGGAATTATCAATCATGCACCAACAAGCCCAACTTTTTAAAAGATGGTTTCCAGGAACAGAATTCAGGACGTCATGATTGCACGGCAAGCACTTTACTAATGAATGACCTCTCTCCTCTCTTCTCCTCTCTCTCTCTCCTCTCTCTCTCTCTCTCTCTCTCTCTCTCTCTCTCTCTCTCTCTCTCTCTCTCTGCCACGTGAACCTCTCAGTGTTCACACAAAGCAAGGGGACAGGAAAAGCGAGCACGTGAGATGCTTCCCTTTTTTCTCACTCTTCCACTTCAGGGAGAACCTGTTTTTGTTTTTATGGTCTGAAAGAGGATCAGGTGCTATGAATAGACCTAAGGAAACCATTACTTTTTCTTTTGCTACCAACAAGCGACGAGAAAAGTGGAGGCCAATGAAGCAAACATCAACACTGCAAGGTTATAAATAGAAAAATAAATAACTTTTATTTTGTACAAAAGGGAAAATATACTTAAGCCAAGAGGCTGTGTGTGTGTCCCAGGGCCAGGCCACTGTCAGCGTCCTAGAGGCTCTGAATGTCCTAGGGCCAAGAGTATGTGCATCTCAAGGCCAAATGAATGTCTGCGTCCTTGCTCCCACGGAATCCGGGCTCAGAGCAGCAGTAGCGAGCCC